GATTCTCATAGTCAAAGGAAAAGCAAAGTTTTGATGAACAGCTAGACCATTTTTTTTGCCACAATAACTATCACAACATGTTCTTACTGCTAAATATAGAGTTTGGCAGCTCTTTGTGAGACCGCATCAATAGCCCTTTCTCTGCAATTTTAAAAGAACACTTTTCCTTTTTCTACTTTGATTCTCTAACTTATTAATCATTGCCTAGTGATCTCTCTGAACTGACTTGCATAAGTTTTATTTTGAAATGTGAATTCACATGCAAGGTAAAAGAAAAACAATAATGAATGATACCTTGTAAAAACTTCTAATTGAATGTTTTGTAAAGTAGAACTAGAATTCCAACAAATTTTTTACTACATTTTTACTGAAAAGGCAGATTTTTTTTGTCCCCAAGCAGCTATGGTCAAATTTTGGAACGATGTCAACAGTTGTTTAGAGGTTGATCTTTATTTCCAAACTGTGATCTAAAACCTATTATGACAGAATCATTTCCAAATATTATTCCTCTCTAAAATGTTCTCAGTATTGAAAGTTGAAAAGTCTGCTGTTCATATAGTATTTTTGTTGTTGGGGTATTTTTTTCCTCTCTTTCTCTAGGTAAAGTAAGTGTTTCAGAAAAGTTCATTTTTTTAAGGAATATCATACAACATTGTTATTTGAGTGAACAAATTAAATGAAGAAATCAATGTACTTTATTCAAGATGACATAGACATTTAAGGTGGACTAAAGCCAAATTTCGGTTGCCAATGATGTAATTTATGGATCATGGATTACGAGGGCTTTGCTGTACCTTCATTACGTTTTCATAATTCATCTTGTTGCTACCTCAGCACAAAATTGAAAGCAAAGGAAACAAAGGTGAACTGAACAGTTGTTTTCTACAACTATTGAAGATTATAAGGACTTCAGTGGCTTAGTGGTAAGGAGTTGCACTGCCAACCCAAAGACAGGCAGTTTGAATCTACCAGGTGCTCCACGGGAGAAAGACAGGCAATCTCCTGTAATGTGATTTACAGTATCTGAAAATCCACTTGAAAGACAGCTATGAATTTATTCTTTACAACACATAACAAAAGTAACAAGAATACAGAGGATTAAGAATGTCAAGGACTTTAAATCTAAGACTTAGAAAAAAAATTTTTTTTCTGTATATGCCACCTTTGAAACCTGCTGTAGTTATTACATGTTGTAGGATGGATTGACTCCTAGTGACCCCATATACAGCAGAGTGAAACCCTGGCCTGTCTTATCCCATCTTCCCAATCCCTGCTGTGTTTGAGCCCATTTTGCACCCACTATGTCCGTGTATCTCTTTGAAGGTCTTCCTTTTTTTTTTTATGATCTTCTGCTTTACCAAACCTGATGTCCTCCTTCTCCAAGGATTGGCTCCTTCTAATAACATGCCCTAAGTCTGTGAGATGAAGTCACTACTCTTGAAAACCGAATGCACTGGAAAGGAGATATAGATATATATAATCTATCTATCTATCTATCTATCTATCATCTATCTATCTATCTATCTATATATCTATATATCTATCTTTGGTTTTTTCCCTTATTTGACCATTTTTGCTCACTTACTTTACATAAAACCATTTTCAGTGCTGTCGAGGTGATTTTATTAACAGCATATATTAGAAAGATATGAGGCAGAGAAAGAAATCTAACAGCCAAGTTAAGGAGCCTTGCAGAACCATCTGCTGGAACATAATTAGAAAGGAATTGCACAGGGAGGCTGACTCATCCGGTCTGATTATGATGTCATAGTAGCTACTATTTATTAACGTAAACATTAATTGCCTGATGTCAACCACACTTCAGCAAAATCAGAAATGCATGCCCCATTTAACATTTGGGTTTTGCGCGATTTCCCATAGAAAATTGGTCTGACTCATTGTCAAATGAATTTTTCTTGCTCAGATAATATTTTATGCTTTTTCATGGTAAATCTGATTTTAACACCTTCCATTTTTATCAAAATTATTTTCGATGTGGGAATATTTCTCCTGTGTTTTGAAAGCTTGTGAGATTAAATGGGCATTCAGTGAGGGGGTTATACAGTATTCTCCCTCCTACTAGCTCTGAATGGAAATGAACTCTTCTTCCCCTTGCCTCAGTTTCCTTCTCAGTGCAGTAAGGACAGATCTCTTTGATTTACCTTCACTAGTAGTTAAGAAAACTTAACATCTGTCAAGTGGTTAACTCTTTAAGAATAGAATGTTTTGCTTTCTTTATTTTATCCTGAGGGTAGAATATGTACAAATAAAGTCATATTGACAGATAGGGTAAATCATATCCCTGTCTACATATATTTAGTCATCAAGTACTCTGAACACGTGCTCTGTGCCATACGTGGTGCTAAGTATGGGGCAGTTGGTGATGACATTTGGCCCCTGATCTCAAGGCACAAAAGAAGCCTGAGAAGACCCTGCTAATGGACATTCCAGGGGCTGCCTGGGCCCTGCAGCCTGCTGAGAAAATAATTTTTCCATCAGCTTCTAAAAAAGTATTTCATACTCATTGACTCTACCTTTCTGTAGAAGTCAGAAGATTATCATAGTGTATATGAAAGTATTTTTGTACATAGATTCATCCTGGAAAGGGTGAAACCAGGAGGCTCCTTGGAGGCAAGAATTCTGAGGCTCCATCTAACATAGTTTGGACATTTTGTAAGGAGAGACGGGTCCTTGGAGAGGGACATCGTGCTTGGGAAGGTGGAAGGACAGTGCAGGAGGGGAAGGCCCTCTATGAAGTGGATTGATTCAGTGACTGGGGTAATCGAGATGGGTGTGTCAGAGACAGTGTGGTTGGTACAGGACAGAGCAGAGTTTAGGGCTTTGTACATAGGGTCACTATGAGTCGCAAGCAACTTGACAGTACATAACAGCAACATATGAAGCTATGATGCTTTATGTCCTGTTTGGAAGGAAGTGTACTGAATGTTACTCTTATTGTTTTGTGTCATCAAATGGGTTCTGATTCATAGTGACTCCATGCACAACAAAAATGAAACACTGGTCCCACTCCATCACAAATGCTTGCTTTATGAAAACTCATTGTCACTGTCGCTGTAGTCACTGTGCCAGTCCCTCTCACTGAGGAGTGTCATCCTCTTTTTTTTTTTTAACAAACTCTCCAAGGGAGCTCTGGTGGCTTAGTGGTAAGGAATTGTATCGCCAAAGTAAAAGCATGCACTTCTAATCCTCCACCTGCTCTGTGGGAGAAAGGTGGGCTATCTCCTTCTGCGTGATTTACTGTCTCTGAAAACCTCCTAGAGGGTCAGCTTTGGGTCCATTCTAACTCAGCCATACACAACCACAATACCAAGCATGAGGTCCTTGTCTGGGGCCTGGTCACTCTGGATTTTATCACCAAAGTGTCTGAGATGAAGTTTCACCATTCTCAGCTTTAAGGAGAATTCTGATTTTACTTCTCCCTAAACAAATATGTTCATTCTTCTGACAGTCTGTGGCAGATTTAATATTTTTTACCAGCATCATGATTTCAATACATTCATTCTTCTTCCTGGATACTAAATGACATTCATTTGTAACTTAGTCCAGTGCTTCTAGTTGCATGGTAGAATAACTTGGACGGTATGTAAGCTCTCTCATTCCTGCTCCCTCCAGATTGCATTTGAGAGGACAAACAATAAACTCTCATGGGTGACATTTGATGCAACCTTATGTAAGCACAGAGAAAAGTAAAATGGTTCCAAAAACTCAAGTCATTACTATTGAGTCAGAAATGACTCATAGCTGACTTTCAAGTCAGTTTTCAAGACAGTAAATCACATGGGACAAGATTACTCATCACTCCACCATAGAACCATTGGTGGATTCAAACCACCATAGAAGTACCTTTAGCCTCTGTGCTGTTAGTGCAACTTCCTACTATTATGAACTTGGTTTCTATATTCTTACAATAGAGTTAGAATAAGAACTGTTTAGGAGGGATATATGATTAGGTATTATTGTCATGACAGGAGTCCAGAATGAAAGCTGCATAGTGGAGTGGACTGGAGGGGGGTGTGTGTGTCATTTTATAACAATGAAATTTTTCTTTTTTATTATTTTTTTTTTACTTTACAAAGAGAAAAGTGAACTGGAGGGGAGGGGTGGGCAGAGAGGAAAGTGTGCAACAATGAATGAAAGGAAATCCAAAGTCTCTGTAAACATTCATTAAATTAAAAAAATAATAGCTGCCTCTTATTGGAAGGTTGTTGTAACAAATAAAAGGTTATTTGGATGATGAAAATAATTCTTGAAAGCTCTTAGCTTGATGCCAGACTTCAAAGACACATTTGATAGTTGTTTATTGCCATGGGATCGGAAGCAACCCGTAGCTGAGCCTCCACTGGGTTTTCAGAGGCTGTAAACTGCATAGGAGAAGAATTCCCATCTTTCCCCTATGGAGCAGCTGGTGGATTTGAACTTTGGGTTGGGTGTACATTTCTCTACCTGCTAGGCCACCAGTGTTCCCTGCACGTGATAGATTTCTGCCAGCAATAATAACAATAATTATGTTGGTGACAGTATTCATTTACTAGTGATGCTTCTCCTTATTATTAATGTCTTCCTACTAGAAATGTCATCACCAGTAATGAATAAGTAGTTGTGCGGCTAGTTCAAAGATAATGCCTACCTGGTATCTCCCACAGTGGATTCTCTCTTCTCTGGTGTGCTTTATAGCTATGGAAATCCGCTGGAGGATCATCTGAGTCCACTCCTGCCCAAAGGCAATGAGTCTGAGGTGTTTTATTTTGTATAAAGATAATTTCAGTGAATAGACAATTGGTTTTCCAAATATATATGCTAATCTTCCTTGAATTTACCAAAAGTATGTCAGAAAATGCTAAGTAAATATTTCAGGTCATTTTAGTGTATCAGTTCTCAGTGCAGACAATTGTGATTTGTTTTCTTCTAAGAAGCCATCCTCCTAATGTCATCGTCTCTTTTCTCTTTCCTACTCCTTTGGCAACTCTCAATGTGTGCAGAGGAGAAAGCCAAGAAGGAGGCGGAGGAGAAGGCACGCCTGGCCGCCGAGGAGAAGCAAAAGGAAATGGAAGCCAAAAGCCAATCTGAGGAAGGAGCAGCTGGAAAAGCTGAGAAGAAGGCACCTGGGGAAGTGAAGACGCAGGTCAATGGAACACGCACAAGCAAAAGTGACAACGCTCGTGGGAAAGCGTCTAAGGCTGAGAAGGCAGGAGAGAAGCAGCAGAATGGTGAGTTCTCTGTGCTGGGAGCACCGAGGGCACTGGGTCCTGGCGAAGAGCAGCGCAGTTTCACCATCAGATACACCTAGATTCGAGTCATGGTTGTGCCTCTCACATGTTGGGAATCATCATTCGGTTACTTACCCTTCCACTATCTCTGTAAAACGCACATTATGGTTCCTACTCACAGCATAGGCCTCTTGTAAATCCTAAATGATAGTAGTAACAACAAAGGCATTTACTCCATCACCACCTCCAAATCCCATTTCTTAACTAAGCACAAGATACTGTTAAAGTTCTGCTTTACATGTTCAGTGCCCCATCGGGCCAGATGGTCTACCAGAGATGGGATCTAGTTTTTGTGCCCATCTGCGATCATGCTGTATTTGCTAGGTCACGTCTGGAAGTAAGTGCCTTCAAATGCTGTTTTTATTGTTATATTCTGTTAAGTTGGTTCTGACCCACAGTGACCTCACAAAATGAAACACAGCCTGCTCCTGTACCATCCCTACATCTCTCAGTGTATGTGAAGAGATCTACATCCTCCAACTAATCTTAAAAACCAAAAACATTTTTTAATGCTTAATATGTTCCAGACATTTTATGTGAGATTTTCTCTTTTAAAAATCATTAAAAAAAAAAAATAATGACCCTTGCAGGTAGCTATGTTGTTGTGTACCATTGAGTTGGAACTGACCAATTCGAGCTGACTCTAGCAGACTTTCAGAGGCCGTAAATTGCACAGGATGGTATTGCTCATCTGTCTCCTGTGGAGCAGCTGGTGGATTTGAATTACATACTTTGGCTCTGGCAGCACAGTTCCTACCACTAAGCCACCATAGCTAAGCAGATTTGTTGTGGTGGTAGCTGTGTGCTGTTGAGTTGGAAATGACCCGTAGCTGAGCCTCCAGTGAGTTTTCAGAGGAGATTGGTTGCCCATCCTTCTCCCACAGAGTATCTGGTGTATTCGAACTGCATGCCTTTGGGTGTGCAATGCAGCTTCTTATTACTAGACCAGCAGAGATCTCTAGGTAGATATACTTCATATATATATGTTGTTTGTTGTTGCTGATTGCCTTCTAGTTGAGCACGACTCACAGTGACCCTATGAACAAAAGGCCTGAAACCCCTCTACAACTATCGTCATTTATCAAAGTTTATAGAGTTTCTGGAGGCATGTTATTTAGGAAGTGGAGAAAGATAGGTAGATAGATGATTGATAGATAGATGATAGATAGATAGATAGATATCATCTGTCTATCTATCTACAGAGTTAGCAAAATTAAATTACTTTCCTAAGGGTCAGCAACCACTAATTAGAGATCTCAGGCCAAATTCAATGTTTGAAACAATCTTTTTCTACAACCTACGTGGTTTGATGCCATCAATGAGAAGAATTGATGAAGTATTGAGACAGCTCTCCAGAAGGAAATACTGGGACTGCTATCCACAAGATTTATATAAACCTTTCTATAAAGGGCCAGGTGCTTCCAGTTTTGTGGGCCACATGATCTCAGCTGTAGTTTGCTCTGCCACTTCGGCACAAACGCTGCTATAAACAATATGTGCACAATGAGCATGGCAGTATTTCAATAAAATTTTACTTTGGGACACTAAAATTTTAATTTAATAGAATTTTCACATGCCCCAAGATATAATTCTTTTCTCCCTCAATGATTTGAAGACATAAAAACCATTCTTATTTTGTGGGTCTTATAAAAACAGGTAACTGGTCATGTTTAGCTTATGGGCCATAACTTACAAATTCGTGGTCAAGTCAGTAAAGTAAAACAAGAAGACAAGCAAGTCCATCACAATGAAGTTATAAATTTGACGTGAGTAAGGTAACTCGTGGTTGCTGTGATGCTAAGCACTGTGACAGTGATGTGTCAAATACCATAATGGTTACCCATGGTGGACAGTGTTTGGTGGAGACCCCACTTAGAAGCAGGAGTGACATCAACTTCCAAAATAACTTGCCTCCAGAAACACCATGAACCTAGAGAAATAGTGAAAATTTTACAAGTGTGCAAGTCTTTTGTTCATAGGGTCACTATGAGTCGTCTATGATTTGATGGCACTTAACAACAGCAACAATATAAACATTGTCACCTCAGAGAGGATTATTGTTGTTGTGTACCATCGAGTTGGAACCAACTGATAGCTGACCTTCCAGCAGGTTTTCAAAGGCTGTTAATTACGTGGGAGGCAATTACCCACCCTAAGGGTGGTGATAACTTATTTTTTGGAAGGTTAAGAGGAATTCTTGAAATGAACAAAACAGGAGACTGAGCATTCATTCTAGTCAGCTGACTTGACTTCAAAACTTTATTTCCCAAAGTAATGACAATCTATTCTTCTCTCTAAAAGGGAAGTCTTAAATGAGAAGTGGGGAAAAGAAATCAACTTAGAGCAATAACAAGAACAGCGAATGGTGGTCCGGCACTGTTTTACAGCTACCTAATTAAAATGATTTGTAACTGAACAGATAGGCTCTTTTGTTCCTCCTTTTATTGACTAACAGTTCACATTGGCCATTATGCAACATCTGACCCACAAAGACTTATATCATGAGTTCTGTTCAAGGGTTGTCATCTAACAGTAGTGTCACCATCCCAGCACTCTTTATATATATAGATGTTGAGTGAAATATCTCAGTCACAAAAGGATAAATATTGCATAGGGCCACTGTTATAAAATGGGACTGACATCGGACTTGAGGGAAAATAGAGAAGGAGGCGAGAAATGATGTATACTGCATTGAAACAGATGTGAGAAAGAACTATTTAAAAGGCATATATTATCAGGTATTATTGTCATGACAGGAGTCCAGAATGAAGGCTGCACAGTGGAGTGGACTTGAGGGGGAGGCATCACATAACAATGAAAGAGTTTTTCTTTTACTTTTCAAGAAGAGTGAAATGGTGGAGGGGGTGGGCAGAGAGAGAAAAGTGCAAAAATGAATGATTGGAAACCCTAAGTCTCTGTAAACTTTCATTAAAATTAATTTTTTAAAAAGAGGAAAAAAGAATTTAAAACAATAGAAAAAGGAAGAAAGGAAAAAAAAAAAAGACATGTTCCAGCTTTGAGCTGAAGGATTAAGGAGATTCATCAGAGTTTGATCTCTCATCAGCACTTACGGGATTCCTGAAGCTTTTGTTTCTTCCAACACTGGTCATGGAGAAGGCAATCTGCCACGATGTAGGCCAGCGTCCCGTGTATTGAACTTTCCTGCTTACTTTTGGAAGACATCCTAGTCATGCTACAGTGATGGGTCAAGCTCCAGAATGGAGCAGACTGGAAGGGTTAAAGTCAAGTGCATTAGGGGTGTGGAGGATCGGTGAGGGAAAAGAGATCACTTTTCTGTGAACTGTGTCTGATGACACAGTTCAAGTATCTGGCCATCTCTAGAATTGTTAAAGCAAAGACACATAGTATTAGAATTGCTTCATGGAGCCTCCAAAGAACACTTTCTCTTTTGACTATTGATGATTTTAGAAGATTATGACCCCATGCTCCTCTAAACTCCTCATACTTGGGCCCTGTGTGTGTCTATGAGACCCCTGCCCAGCCCTCCACACCAGTTTATCTCATTGCAGAACTCAGAATCAGAGGAAACCTGGTGAATTTTTTGACTAGTGGTGGTGGTGGTTGTTGAATTGATTATAATCCACGTGCACAAAGTAGAGTTGTTCCACAGAGTGTTTAAGATTGGATGGGTTCAGACTGCTAAACCTTTGCTAGTAGAGTGCCTAACTGTTTATGCCACTCAGCGACTCCGTTGCTTACTCATGACCTGGCTTAATACCAATTACTATCAGATCAACTGTGACTCCTGGTTAACCTCATTTGCATTAGCCTAGAACTGGGGATGGGGGAGAAGTACTTGAAGAATTGGAATCTACTCATTCAGTTAGCGGTCAAGTGTGTAAACTGTTCATACTACCTAGGATTTTCAAAGGCCTGTTATCTCAGAAGTGGAGAACCACTCTTGCTTATTAGTCTGTCTTAATTTGGAAGCTCTGGTGAAACCTGTCCACCATGGCCAATTTTACTATATTTGAAATACTAGTGTGTAGTTTCCCATATCACGGCAACCTACAGGTCACATCAGCAAGCTGAGAGACAAGTGTACTCATAAGAGCAAACTATAAACAAGCAAACATGTACGTACATAAACTATATCATAAGCAGCAACAAGCAAGTAAGTCCCCTAACACAGCAAACTGATAAGTGAAAGTATAGGTTGCATTGAGAAAATCTACTGTCCAGGATCTCGCTAAAGTGCTAAAGAGCTAGAACCTCCATTTATAAAGTTAGATGCTCTAAGCCATGATCTTTTTAGTTGCTTCCTATGCATGTGAAAGTTGGATAACAAATAAGGATGACAGCAGAAGTATCAGAGCTTTTGAATTATGGTATCTGAGACGAGTACTGAGTATTTCGTGGTTTTCAAAAGAACAAACCTGGGTGCTTCTTAGAGACAAGGATGGTGAAACTTCATCTTGCATACTTTAGGCATGTTGTCAGAAGGGACTAGTCCTTGGAAAAAGACATACGAGAAAAGGTGGAAGGTCCGAGAGAGCTTGGGTATACCAAATGTGATGACGATGGCACAGAATAGGGCAAGGTTCAGATCTGTTCTTCGTAGGATCACTCCAAGTGGTAGTTGACTCAATGACATCTAGTAGCTACAACAATTACCTAGCAACTCTAGTTTAAGATTTGTTAAATTCCTTTAAGTGCTTAATTTGTGGATTATTTCCACTAAAAAAAAATTAACCCTTAGTTGTAAGGAGGGACTGACGGGTCCTTGGAGATGGACATTGTGCTTGAGAGGGTGGAAGGACGGCACAGGAGGGGAAGACCCTCCATGAGGTGGATTGATTCAGTGACTGGGGTAATCGGGATGGGTGTATTGGAGACGGTGCGTTTGGCACAGGACAGAGCAGGGTTTAGGGCTGTTGTATATAGGGTCGCTATGAGTCACAAGTGACTCGATGGCACATAACAACAACAACCGTTTTGTGAACACGTTATCAGGAGGCACTGGCCCCTGGAAAAAGACAACGTAACTGGAGGTTCAGTGAAAGAGAAAAATACCCTCGCTTAGATAGATTGATTGCAGCAATAAACTTGAGTGTGATAGACACTGTGAAGATGACCTAGGATACGGCGAGTTTTTGACCTTTTTTTCATACAGTGAGTTAGAGTTACTCAGTGACATCTCACAATACCAACAAACCATTTTGTTGTAAATATATTAATTGAACATTTTGAGATGAAAATATTTAAATAATTTGGCTTCTAGAACCAGATTAATTTGTGGTGACTTAGTGGTAAAGAATTGCATTGCTATCTCAAAGGTATGTGATTCAAAACTACAAGCTGCTCTGCAGGAGAAAAATGGGCAGTCACTATAGGGCCACTATTGTAAAACAGGACTGACATTGGGATTGAGGGAAGTCAGAGAAGAAGGGGAGGAATAATGTATATACTACATTGCAACTGATGAGGGAGAGAACTGTTTAAAAGGGATATATGATTAGGTATTATTGTCATGACAGGAGTCCAGAATGAAGACTGCACAGTGCAGTGGATTTGGGGGGCAGGGAGGGATTGCATAACAAGGAAAGAGTTTTTCTTTTACTTATCAAGGAGAAAAGTGAATTGGGGGGAGTGGGTGGGCAAGGAGAATAATGCAACAATGAATGACTGGAAACCCTAAGTCTGTAAACTTTCATTAAAATTAATATAAAAAAATTCACATCACAAGAACTCTCATTCAACCATCTTATTATTTCTAATACATCAATTTCCTTAAGTCAAAAATCTAAAATCCATCCTGAAAAAAAAAAATGGGCAGTCTCCTCCTGGGGGATTTACTGCCTCTGAAAAGCCACTAGCAGAGGAGCTATGGGTTGCTTCTGACTCAGTGGTACTTAGCAACAACACCAGCATGGTACATTACTTCATCTGTGTTTCTCAAGTTCCTCCACCACTAAGTGAGGAAACAGACAAGATCCATGTTGATTCTCCACGTGTCAATTTTAGCAAAATCATTTTGAGGACAGGTCAATGGACCATTTGATTAAAATCTGTGAAATTAGCCAAACCGGATCTATGGTATAACCAACCAACATGAGCAGTTTAGCTACCAGAAGGATATGCAGAGTCAAAGTTAAAAGAGGACATAGTCCCAGGAGGTGTAGAGAAACACGGGGATGTGTCCAGAATGCTGTAAGTGCCAGAATAGCTTGTAGTGGAGTCAAGAAAAATCAAAACCTGGATAACATTCTCAGTCACTAGGTGAATTTGTTAGGCAGCAAATTGAGCATTTAGCAAACTAATCTTTGATGAATATGCCCAATTTGATTAGTCATACCTTTGTAATGATTATTATAATAGATTTATTATTATAAGAATTTAATAACTATCATATGAGAAGCTTTTATATGGCCCAGTGGACAGCATCATGATAGATGGAGCAAGAATAGAAATTGCCAATGATTACATCTTACTTGGATCCACAATCAGCACACTTGGTACCAGCAGTCAGGAGATAAGATGTATTGGGTCTGGACAAGTCTGCTGTCAGGGATCCCTCCAGATTACTGAAGAACAATGATGTCAGTTTGAAGAATATGGAGTGAATGATTCAGGCCATGGTCTTTCCCCTTACTTGCTATGCATCAGAGAGCTGGCCACTGACTAAGGATGACAGCAGAATTGATGTTTTGAGTTAAGATGTTGGAAAGAGTGCTGAATATCCCATGAACTGCCAAAAGAACAAACAGGTATATCCTGGATAAGATGCAGCTGGAGTGCTCCTTGGAGGCAAGGATAGCAAAGCTTTGTCTCTCACACACTTTGGACATGTTGCTAGGAGAGGCTATTCCTTGGAAAGTGACATTATGCTTGGAAGGGTGGAGGGTCAGTGAAAGAAAGGAAGACCTCCCAGAGAGATGCTTGACACAAGTGACTGCAACAATGGTGTTAAGCATATGAGAGATGGAAAAGATGGCTCAGAATAGGACAGGATTTAGAACTGTTGTTCATAGGGTTGCTCTAAGTCAGTGGCACCTAACAATAGCAACAACAACAAGCAGAGTGTAAAGACATGACACATGAAAGGCAATTTAGCACACTGCCTGACACAAAAAGTAAAAACAAAAATGATTTACCCACTAAATATTTATAAATGTCTATTTAGTGTCTGTAGATACTCAGTTCCAGATTGCAGTTACTATTAGCCTTTTTCCTAAGTCGGTACCAGTGTTTAAATAGTAATACATTCTGGATTTTGCAGCAAACTGAAAAAGAAGTTGCTGTTTGAGATTGATAAGAAAATTAGTCAGCCCTTTAAAATAAGGCTGAGGTAGGGGTATCACATCCTGCAGAAGTCACACTGGCATATTATTGTTTTACAGACCTGCCCGAGAGTTACTTCATTGACTTGGACAAGAGTCAGCAAACTTTTTCTGTGATAGATGAGAGAGGAAATGCACTCACCTTTGAAAGGATGCAACTGCTGTTTTGGTGTGAAAGCAACCTTAGATTATAAATGGTTGGGTATGACTGTGTTCTAGTAAAACCATTTCAGAAACATGTTAACCTTTACTCCAGAAGAGTACTGAGTGTACCCTGAGTTGAACAAACGGGTACGTGTTCTTACTCCCAATCTAATGCTAAAGGTAAGCTGCCTTCATTGAAAGATGAACACCATTGGCCTAAGTACAGTCTTATTTAATAGAACCTCTAATCTTGACTTCTGGATAATAACCTACATTTCAGGACTTAACATGTGGTTACAAAAAAATATTTATACTCACATATATATCCCTAATGTCTATAAAATTAAGCCTTACTTACATATTTATTTTACATTGGCAGACTTAAAAATATTTATAACTTCTTCCTCAGCTTTATACATATACTATTTGTCATGTTTATTACTTGCAGGTGATTTGAAAGATGGCAAAAATAAATCAGACAAGAAGGATCAATCCAATGTCGGAAATGATTCCAAGAAAACAGATGGTAAGAGTATAATTCCCATTACATTTTTTCATAAAATGTGTAAAATAATGCAAGCTTGTTAGAATTACACCTAAAACCGAAATCATGTCTATTAATGTTATGGTTATATTCTTTGTTGAAAACACAAGTCAGTACATTTTGAAAGTACTATTATTATGCTTTTTCAATAATTTACGAATTCTTGAATCTTTTCCCTGTCAGCCATGCTTTCTGCATTATAAGTACTTTTCTTTCCCACTTCTAGTGGAGTGACACATATTCCTAAAATGTTTACAAGTCTTTGACCATGAATTTGCATAAGTTTGCTCATATACAACTTTGTTTTTTCACAAACGTATAAGTATATTCATAAATAGGCAATATTTTAGGTTTTTACATTTGTGGAGTTATTTTTGCATTTTTAATTTTGTCCATCAATGAGTTAAGGAAGAAACAGGGACCCATTCCATATCACAGGTTTCCTCCACCATCTGAAATTAGAACATGAAACCTTTTACTTATGAAGTACTTTGTGAGCCAAAATGGCATGAAATAAAAGCAATTACCATTGATTTATTTCTATTTTTGAGCATTCCCACACTAAAAAAATAACCTATAATTCATTTCAAATAATACATAAATCCTAATCTTAACATACAGGGTGCACAGACACAGTTCAAAGCTATGAACTCCATGCTGAGTTGCTAAGCGAGGTTCCCAGGGACGGAGGGTTTGCTGTCTCCACTCACACTGCTCAAGGCGCCTCTTGCCTCCTTGAAGATTCACTGAAAGAAAAACCAAAACACTGACCACTAGTTTTGGTTTTTACGTGTGTGTGTGTGTGTGTGTGTGTGTGTGTGTGAAAGTGAACATCGTTTTTGGATCTCTTTCATTTAGCAAAAAGAGATGCTCATATAGATTTTTCATGAAAGCAAGATGGTGTAAGCCTCCAAAAAGCAGGGGATATCCCACTTGTTAATAAATAAAAAATCAAGGGATAACTGTATCATGATTATGGAAGTTCTGTTCAAATCCATTAGCTGTAACTCAGGAGAAATATAGGCAAAGACCTCCTCCTGTGCAATTTACAGCCTCTAAAAGACTGGGAGTCAATTCTAGCTAATGGCTCACAACAACAACACTTTCATGATTATGGAGGCCCAAATGCTGGGAAACAGTCATGATTCTATGGTATGGTTTGGCCAGCAACAGCAAGTCTTAAATGTGAGGCTGTAGATGACTTCCTAAACCCAGGTTAGAAGGAACCTACATGAAATAATGCACTTGATAAGCAACTCATTTCCTTTTTATATACACAGCATTTATACATTCTAAAACTTGAAATTCGTGTTATATTACCTTTGAACTTGAAGCTATTTGATTGAGATATTTGCCATCACCTTTTACGTAAATCTCCCTGTTTTTGTTGTAGCATAGGCTCCTTCCTAGTTAGTTATTAATTTAAAAATGTACACGGCATCAAACTAAAAGCACAACTTTCCGAAGAATGTTAGAGTCCTAAGCTCCTTCAATCATATTTCCTTGGAGACATCACATTTAATGCTGAGTTATTCTTCAGATAGTTTGATTAGAATAAATGCAGGGTAGTCAGATTGAGGGTTAAGAAGAACTCTGGACTCAACCCCTCCTCTGGACCGTTGATAGCTTTCATCCCTGAGCCATTGTAATATGTCATCTTTAATCGTAGGACTTCTCAAACTTTTCTTTTTAAAACCATTGAAATAATTTATTCCAGGTATCTTATCACACAATACCTAGGGGACCAATTGTATGCAAATAAGATAGTTACCTAATAAGGGTGCCCTCTTTTATGATTGTGACTAAGAAGTGAATCATAAGAAATTCAATTTGACAATTTCTCAGACATGCTTCTTCTGGATAAGGTTTGTTCAAATACTGGAAGCTCCTTACCATATATCATTGGATCTAAGTCAGGACAAGATAAACCAGAGAAAAAGAATGGTTCAAGTCATGAACATCTCACCTATCTCTAATCCAGCAACTGACCCATTAACACTCTGATTTGAATTCTTACAGGATAAAATATTGGAGTAAACCAAATCCCAACTCTTTAATATGGGACTTCAATCTAAATGTGCTTCACAGCAGATGTTGTGCTACAAGTATCTACTGTAATTTTGTCTTACAGTGTGGTTTAAGTTTTATTACCTTCATAAATCTTCTTAGATTAACTCTACCTTTGCTCTTTTAACTGAATCAGTCCCATATATTTAAAACAGGAGTTTGGGAGATGAGCAGGCAAGGACTGCAACAGTGAGGTAGATATTATATTGTTTTGTCCTAATAAATATAAATTTTGTTTGTTTAATGACTAGGATTCTTTATCTCAAAGTATAGTAAATATAGGGAGACTTTCTTTGATAGGTATCAATTTTCACTTTTATAACCTCCACTTTCACTGCCTAAAGTGAGCTGATATATGTCTATACACTTACAAGTTTGTACAAAAAGGTGTGAGCAACTTTGTATTTCGCCACTGGCTGACTACCATGACAGCAGTCATCATTACTGCTTGATATCATCAAGACTTTAATATCTGGCTTCACTAACTTAACACCAACTTTATCTAAAAACCTTGACCAGAGCTTAAGGAATTCTTGATGGCATGTAATGGAGAAGAATTTGATCAAACTCACCTATCTTCCCCTTCCTTGGTTATGAAGTCCCGCTACAAAATAAAAATGAAATATGTAGATTGGTATACCAATTAATTTAAAAAACAAACTACATAAAAACAACCAGATAAATTTTGAACATTCATTTTTAATAGGTGTTATCACATCTGATACTAGAAGGAGTCATTTTGATTCTTTTTAATGCCTTGCATCTGACATAACTTTTGGAGGCCATTAGTGACCAGCACTCTCTGGTCTTAGGAAGCAGTAACCAGGCATATTTTTGTGTTCAGTGTGGTCAAATCTATTCGAGTTTAAAGGTGTAGCATTGCATTTATTTGTAGAAAACCCAGTGAAAACTAGTCCACTCTTGGTTATTCCAAAACTCTCTTGAGCTGGGCATGCACAGAGGGAAGCAGGGAGTGCTAAGAGAGCAAATTACATGCTGGTCTAATCAACACATTGCTCTTGTACATTATCTCTGTCAGTCCACAGAAGCACTGTTTAGTGTCCTGCTGCACTAATTTTCTAACTGCCTTCAAAGAATTCATGTCCTTTGAAAGTACCTTGTTTACCCCTAAGGAGAAATGTGCTGACACAAAGAGATCTGAGTCTCTGAGCCAAAATTCTCAAAATGCTGAAACTTCCCTGTTGTCATTGGGAAAAATACAGTGTACCACACAAATGAATTAATTTGACTGTTTTCCTAGCCATAGTAGTAGAAAAATTGTTTCTTGAACCTGTTATAATTTATTGTCGTTGTCCAAAAAGAAAAACTTCTTAACATCACTTAGCCTTATATTAACAAAGATACAGATTATAATAAAAAAAATTGTGTCTCTCAAAAGATTGATTACAATTAAGCCTGCAGTATTATTAGCCAAGCCCCAGGAAAGTGAGTTCAGTTGGCGTTTCCCTTTCATTGAATGTTCTGAAGAATTGTCACTATTATGAGTATTAGTATATGAAATTTAAATGTCATTCGTGAAGAGTGGTAAGAGTGGACTAGAGACAATCTATGAATGTACGATCAACTCCTGTGGCATAGTCTATAAGAAGTTGTGCTGCTAATTCCTGCGGCTGGTGGTTCAAATCGACCAGCAACCCCATGGAAGAAAAATGGCAAGTCTCTTCCCATGCACTTCATAGCCATTAGGAGCCTGCCGGAGGGTCAGCTGTGGGTTGATGTTGACTCTTTGGCAATTGGTTTGAGAGTTGTGGATGAATGTACATTTCTACAACAAAAAATATATTTACTTTCCCAGCTAAAGCCATAAAAATAACAAAAAAGACACTGGATATCAGATATTAGACAATAGTGAGCAGTGATCTTTGAGAGATCATAATTGAATGAAGTGAATTATACAGTTGCTCCAGATTTCTAATTTGAGAAGATTCCAGGTGATGTAAGGACAGTAAGAACATTCAAGAAGATTTGGTAATTCCATGAGTTAATAAATTATGTAAGAAAGAGTCTAGGGACACCAAGATGTTTAGAATTTGTCGGTTACAGTGCCACAGAAGAGAGAGTTACAGAAAAGTGGAAATCCAGAGATCTGAAGAGTACACCCCCTCAAGTGTTCAGCTGAAGACAATAAAGAACCATCCAAGAAGATCAGAAGAAACAGTTTCTGTACTCACACATAGAGGGAAACATGGCTGCTCACACTAGTCAAATTTGAGTATGTTCTAATTTAAGGGACGTTACTTAGAATATGTATACTTGTCTTGCCTTAATGGTGGAGAATAATTAGCTGAGGCTAAATGCTTCTCCAGTCTCATCTAGCAAATCTTTAATGCAAGACTTCAAAAGATGAAGGTGTTTTCAAGTAATTTAATTGCATTACGAAATAAAGCTTAGCCTAGGATAAAGCATAAGTTCAGAATATAAAATTATTCAGTACACTACAGGGTCAGGTCCACAATGTCTAAAATGGAATTAAATATTACTTAACATAAAGAAAAGCAAGAAATCCCAGCCTATAATGAGAAACACCAGTTAATTGAAACATATCTTAAATAGGAACAGATGTTAAAATTTGAAGAAAGGGGTACTTAAATAGTTGCTATAACTGTACTTCATGGGCTCAAAAGTTAAGGAGAGACATGAAATACATTAAAAAGGCCCAATCTGAACTTCTAAAAATGAAAACTACAATGTATGACAATGAAAAATGCAATGGCTGGTGTTAATGGCAGTACACAAATAAAGTTAATGGTAAATATGTTGGATGTGATTAAATATTACAGAAGAAAAGTAATGAAAATATTAACAATAGAAAATAATATCATAAAACTATTTTCTGTATCAAAAGGAATTGGCAGATACAGAAGATTTTAATGAAATAGCATTTGAGCCAAAGC